TGACTGTAAAGCCTGTGTGCGGGTAGGGCATGACCTGTCACCCATGTTTAACGTCCAAACGGGCGTAAAGCAGGGTTGTGTCATGTCTTCCTGGCTGTTCATACTGTATCTCGACAGCTGTTTACAGAAGCTGAAAGATAGTTGTTTGGGTGTGAAATTGGGTGACATTAAAGTAAATTGTCTGCTGTATGCTGATGATGCAGTGCTTATTGCACCATCAGAGGCAGAACTGCAGGCATTAGTCACGTGTATGAAAGAGGAATGTGAAATTAAAGGTCTCCGTTTGAATGCTAATAAAACTAAGGTTCTGGTATTTGAAAGGGACGAAGAGAGAACGAAGTGTGAAATATGGGTAAATCAGGAATGTCTAGAACAGGTAAATGAAATTGTTTACTTGGGGAGTGCTTTTAGCCGGGATGGAAGATGTGATTTAGATGTGGACAGGCGTGTCGCTGCCGGGAACAAAGTCAATGGTGCCCTGGCTGCGTTAGTCAAAAGGCAAGGCGTAGCGAAGAGTGCACGCCTTGCAATACATAACGCAGTGTTGGTACCGACTTTGTTATATGGCAGCGAAACCTGGGTATGCCAGAAGAAGCATAAAAGTAAGTTGAATGCAGTGGAGATGCGATCTCTTCGTAAAATGTGCGGCGTTACCATGGCCGACCGAAAACGAAACGAAGAGTTTCGCAATATGGCAGGTTTGAAAGATGACCTTATCACAAAAATTGATAAGGGCGTGCTTCGGTGGTTTGGGCACGTTGAGCGAATGAGTGAAGACCGAATGGTGAAGAAAATATATAGCGCGAAAGTTAATATTAAAAGGTGTCGAGGTAGACCGAGACTAACTTTCGAAGACCATGTGAGCAAATTGCTCGAAGAGGGTAGGGTCAAAAGTACTCGGATGCTTAGACGTGCATGCATGAAGAAGATAATGAATCTGAAAGAAGCGAAAGAGGTATGTAAGGATCGTGACACTTGGCGATCTGTTCTCTCTGGCTACCCCGTCAGGGATTGTGCGTGAAGATAAGTAAGTAAGTAAGTATAATATATATATATATATATATATTATATTGTTTTTTTTTTGTTTTATTGTTGTTTTAATTTCTTTGTGTAACAAATAAATCATTTATTTAAATACAATACTTAACCATTACTTTCTAGCTTCTCATCATTTCATCATCATTACAGCCCTTCACAAGTCCACTGCTGAACATAGGCCTCCCCCAAAGAATGCCACAAAGCACGGTCCTGAGCCACCTGCATCCATCGACTTCCTGCATGTCTTACCAGGTCGTCACTCCATCTAGTGGGGGGACGCCCTACACTTCGCCTACCGGTACGAGGCTGCCACTTGAGAACCTTTCTTCCCCATCGGTTGTCGGTTCTTCGAGCTATATGACCGGCCCACTGCCACTTCAGCTTACTAATCCGTTGGGCTATGTCGGTTACTCTGGTTCTACTGCGGATATACTCATTTCTAAGTTTATCACGCAGAGAAACTCCGAGCATAGCCCTCTCCATAGCTCGCTGAGCGACCTTGAGCTTCCTCATACGGCCAGCAGTGAAGGACCACGTCTCAGTTCCGTAAGTCATCACTGGCAACACGCACTGGTTGTACAATTTCGTTTTAAGGTTTTGAGGTATGTCTGACGAGAAGATGTGTCGTAGCTTCCCGAACGCTGCCCAGCCGAGTTGAATCCGTCGATTGACCTCTCGGTCGAAGTTGGACTTACCTAGTCGGACTATTTGTCCCAGGTAAACATACTCGTCAACAACTTCGAGCTTAGTGCTCCCAACAACTACCGGCATAGGTGTGACATGGACATTAAACATAATCTTTGTTTTGTCCATGTTCATCTTAAGACCTATCCGTTGGGAAACACTATTGAGGTCATTGAGCATAGTGCTTAGGCCCTCCAGCGATTCTGCCATAAGGACTATATCGTCGGCAAATCGAAGGTGAGTGATGTACTCGCCATTGATGTTGATACCGTATCCTTTCCAGTCCAGAAGCTTGAAAACGTCTTCCAATGCAGCGGTGAAGAGTTTCGGGGATATGACGTAACCCTGTCTTACACCTCTCTGCAATTGGATAGGTTTCGTACTCTGGTTCTGTACTCGGATAGCCATCGTAGCCCTACTGTACAAGCACTTCAACACTTCGATATACCGACAGTCAATTTGGCACCGCTGAAGGGACTGCAGCACCGCCCAAATTTCGACGGAATCAAAGGCTTTCTCATAGTCCACATACGCCAGACATAGTGGCAAATTGTACTATTCGGACTTCTGTACAACTTGCCGAAGGGTATGTATGTGGTCTATGGTGCTAAAGCCCTTTCGGAAACCGGCTTGTTCGGGAGGCTGGAAGTCGTCAAGTCTGCGCGCGAGACGATTCGTAATGACTCTCGACAGCAGAAACAGCACGTAGACGCGGCTCAGAAGGGAAATCGGTCTGTAGTTCTTCAAGAGAGCGTTGTCACCTTTCTTGAAAAACAAGACCACCGCACTTCTGCTCCACGCCTCCGGTGTAATGCCACCATGGAGGACGGAATTAAAGAGCTTCTGAAGGACTTCAAGTACCGGTCTTCCACCCGCTTTCAGAAGCTCCGCTGTAATTCCATCCTCGCCTGGGGCCTTACCGTTTTTAAGGTGCTGGAGAGCCATTCTAATCTCGCTCAGACTGACGTCCGGGATATCTTCGGAATAGTGTCGGATGAGACTCGCTCTTGGATCGTTACTCACACTTGCGTGTGGCTCCAACGATGACGTGTACAGCTGCCCATAGAACCTCTCAATCTCACTCAAAATCTCAGGTGTCCCGGAAACGATGCTGCCACATTCCGTCTTCAGCTTTGACAGTTGGCTCTTTCTGGCAGACAGATCTCTGGCAAAGACTTTGGAGCCTTGGTTCCGCTCGATCGCTTCTTCAATACGAGCTGTATTGAAGTTGCGTAAGTCCCGTCGCATGCATTTGGAGATCTGTCTGTTCAGATGCCTGTATGCTGTCAAGTCTGTTGAAGAATGTAGCTTCATCTCCCGTCTAACAGCCATGAGATTAAGAGTGTGATCGGAGAGTTTTTGTGTTCTTCTGCGGCGGGTCTTGCAGAACTTAGCTCCGACCGCATGGACAGTTTCCACGAGCTTGTCATTCAAATCGTCCACTTCATTGCAGTCTTCTAGGCACTGAAAACGGTTTTGTAACTCGAGCTGAAAGGTTTCGGGACTTTGGATTAGAGCACGAGGGGGACGGAGCGTTGACTTCATTAGACGAGACCTCTCCAACTTAACGTTTAGGTTCAGTGTGCCTCTAACCATTCGGTGATCGCTGCCGGTTTTCACCCTCGCGATCACTGAGACATCACTGAACAGTTGTCGTCTGGTCGTCATAATGAAGTCAATCTCATTTTTTGTCGAACCGTCGGGGCTAGACCAGGTCCACTTCCTGTGGGGCCGCTTCTGGAAGAAAGAGTTCATCATAAAGAGTCCCTCTTTCTCCATGAAGTCGGCCAGCTGCTGGCCCCTTGGGTTCCGTTGCCCTATTCCAAATTTCCCTACTTTCAGCTCACCGTTCTCTCTTGTGCCTAGTTTTGCATTGAAGTCTCCCATTAACACCGTATATTGGGTTTTGGAGGAATGCATGGCTCTAGAGATATCCTCATACATTTCCTCCACCTCCTGATCGGGGTGTGCCGAGGTTGGTGCGTAAACCTGTATGACCTTCAGCGAATACCGTTTGGTGATTCTGAGTATAAGGTACGCAACCCTCGTCGACACACTCCCGATCTTTACAACGTTGTTAACGAGAGACTTGTGGACGATAAATCCGACACCTCCTTGGGACAGATGGTCTCCCTCCCGGTGATAGAGCAAGTTGCCGGATTCGAGGATTACCGTGTCCTCCCCCTCTCTTCGGACTTCGGATAATCCTATAATATGCCAGCGCAACTTGTCTATCTCTTCTTCCAGCTCCACGATCTTCTCGTCAGTCCTCAGGGTGCGTGCGTTGTACGTTGCCAGGTCGAGTCGCCTAAGGTGGCAACCGAACCTCCACCGGAGATTCTTAGCACCCCCTGCCCCGCCGTTACCATGGTCGCCACCGTAGCCAGGAATAGCGGGGCCGCCGGGGACTGGGGGCCGTCTGTTTGTTGCTTTAGTCATTGGGGGGTATTTGCCATAGTTGCCACGCTTGGCGAGCGGGTTGACAACCGCAGTTTTTTTATTATAATTTTGGCTATTATCAGGAAGATGCTGCTGCCCATCTTCTGCCTGTTTCCCTTTGTCGCCTTTTACGACACCCACGGGAGGATATGGCGTAGTGGATATTCTTGACCGCCACTACACGGCACAGCTTCTAGCTTCTAATATCAATTATTTCATAACTAAAAATAACTATATATTATGTAAAACAAAAATATACAAAATATATAATATACAACAATGTTTTAAAGCAATTAAAATGAAAATTAAATTTAAAAGCAAATATTTCCTCACTAACAGTTCGCTTACAAAACATAATATATTTATTGTTATGAATATGGCTAATAAATTCAGAAATGGGGATATCCATAGTAGAACCAAAGTAACTGACATAGCCAAATGGATCAGTAAGCTGAAGTGGAAATAGGCCGGCCATATAGCTTGAAGAATTGATAACCGATGAGGAAGAAAGGTTCTAAAGTGGCAGCCTCGTACCGGCAAACGAAGTGTAGGGTTGCTCCCAACTGGAGTGGCGACCTGGTAAGATATGCAGAAGCTCTAGGAATGTAGACTCAAGACCACGACCGTGCTTTGTGGCGTTCCTTGGCGGAGGCTTATGTTCAATGGTAGACTTTGATGGTTTGTAGTGATGGTAATCAAACAAAAGAGTGACTTTCAATAAGTATTATTTATAATCTATATTGAATAAAAAAGTTTCTGTTTCTGTTTCTGATGATGATGATTCGGCTGGTATCGAATCTCAGTATCTACAACAGTTATATTATTTTCTTATATTACAGATCAAAGTGATGGTGTTATGACATTTTCTGACGCAGAGGAGACTATCAATGACTCAGAATTACACGATTTTAAAGAAGATGGCATGGACATTGAAATACAACTTGCAGACAGGTAAAAGCTTTTTCGTTTTATAGCAATGTTTTAGTGTACCTTATAGTGAAATATAATGCTTGTCCGCAAACTAAACACAAGCAGGCACTACCTTTTAGTAATAAAAAAAATGCCTACACATTGCAGTGGGATCTGAATATGTGCGGGAAGCTCTAATGAAAAATTTAATTATCAATGGCGATCCATTATATAATTAATAATTAACCCCATTTGTAGCCGTAAAGACCTGATTTCAGTAATGCAATATTATATAACGGATTGACGAAACATTGTTTACAGAGTAGAAAAGAAGGACATTCGTTTATTGGAGAATTCGCTATCCCGATGGCAAGTATTGGTGCAGTCTGTCGCGGGCGGAAATGTTGAGTTGGATAAAAACACGCTCGCAGTGTTGCGCGGTCGTCTCGTGCGCTACCTAATGCGATCTAGAGAAGTAAGTAACTCTTGCTTATAGCGTTTCGTCTAAAATAGAACCTCTTAAAAGTTTTTGGTATCTAATAATATGCTGGACTTATCTATTTATAAAAGTTTTAAATGTTTGCTAAGAAAAAAATGTTTAGTAAGGGTTATTACTAAGTTAAGTAAGGGTCTACAAGATGCAGGGGTGTGCAAGCATGATTGTGAATATGGTCTCATATATAGGGCAAACAAAACGATCTGTTAAAACCCGCGTAAAAGAACACATAGCTGACGTTAAGCGTTCCGAGACGGCTCCCGTCATTACATTAGATTTGATAGACCACAAATTCTCGCGAAATAACATCGATTCCTGACAAGGATGATACGTGAGGCTATTCAAATTAAAAAACAACCTTATTTCAATTAAGAATGTAATTAATAACATATAAATACATCTTAACCCCGGTCGAGCCGACCCGTTCGTGCTACAACCATAATATAACTGCAGTGTGGCTCTACCACGTATACAATCTAATTAATATAAAATACAACTTATATTTCAGAAAGAAACATTAATCTCTATATTTTTCTAACTAATCAAATTCCCGCGCTATGAAATTTGTTAAATATTTCACCTCATTCCTAAGTGGCGCCGCCCTGGTGACAGAAAGAGTCGTCGACCGTTTGCGATTTTTAGAACAGGTTTCCAAATTATCGTATTGTGAGAGTTTTATATATATTCACAAATTATGTATGAAAGTTATGTCGAATATGTTTAAATGTGATACAACAAATATTTATTAGCACGGAATCTACAATTAAGATAGTGCTTGTGTAGATGGTTTCGAAAAACAGGTTTAGGACTGAACATGTCTCGCTGAAAAGATAGAACATTCTATTGACGATCAACCTGTCCAAAAATTAAGTATTATGCGCAGGCATGTTTATTTTTTATTTTCAGTTAATAATAATCTCAAAAGTTAAGTGTAAATAGGAAGAGTAAGATTTTTGGGTATAATTAGGAAGTAACAAGGGCGGGTGCGTCCATCAAACAAGCTGATAATTGCCACTGCTTTAATAAAACCGGTTTAATCGATCACCAACCATTTCATGGGGGTCGCAGGTGTACACACACATAATAGACAATAAAAGAATTAAACAGAACATTGTGAAGAAGCGAAAGATTATGTGCATGGCGGTGCAGGCAAATTGGCAATATTTTGAGCTTATTACGAATTAAAGAAACATAATCTTTACACAAACCCGAAATGAATCTTTGTATAAATTTTGAAGTTGCTCAAGTTTATCAAAGTACAGCTAGTCTAATAAGTACAGCCAAAAAAATCTATTTTGTTTGTGACCAAATGCTTTTTTATACATGCTACCGCTTGAGTGACGTTATAGTGTTAGTAGCAAACTTAAGTGGAACGGGTCGTACTTATATACCAAAATTATAAGATGTCCATAACTTTTCACCAAAGGCAAACTTTGTGTTTAGCATAAAACATTAATAATGCACTTTGGATATTTCTCAAAATGTATTTTTAACGGTAATAGTTGCACTTTAAAGCTATTATAATCTTTTTAAAATGTTTCTATTACTCAATATTATAGTAATTTATATGGTCTTCATACACTACATACTATTCCTTTATACAATTTTGAAGCTTTATTTTTTAATTTTATTATGATTACATATACATCTTACAACACCAGTGGTGTGAACTCACCATCCGAGGCTCACTGGCCTTGTTCTATTGGATTTATCTTTAGTTTATGCACTTATTGTGATAGTCTCCTGCAAAATTTCATTCATTCATTCATTACAGCATATCCAATGTCCACTGCTGAACATTGGCCTCCTCATATATTTGCCACAGTAACTGCGCTGGAAGACGGATTGGCAAGCAAGATGGTTTCTTTATATTATTTTGAGCTCTTAACAGGAAGATGCTGCTGCCTATCTTCTGTATCAGTATCTCTCTGTCGTCTTTTACTACACCCTCAGGATGATATGGGGTTGTGAATTATCTTACGCCGCCGCTATACAGCCTGCAACAATGTGGCTAAGTATTGAACTGCTTCGTTAGCTGATTGTAAACAAGTCAGGCCAGTCTACTGATTCAAGGAAGGAAGTGAACTTTAACAGTGGTAGAGCCACGCGGTAGCTTTTGCTGTCGCACGGATGGGCCGGCTCGAACCGGGGTGGTACCACGACCTCACAGAAAACCAGCGTGAAGTATAGGTTTACCTCTGCGTGTCGCTTGGTGAGTGCAGGTGGCCGGAGGCCCTTTTTACTGGAAATGAGGCATTCCATCTTAGTCCTCACGGGTGACAACGCATCTGCATTTTGATTTGTAACAGAGGATAGATGTAGATGTCTATGGGCCGCAGCAACCACTTATCATCAGGTGGACTGTGTGCTCGTTTGTCACCCTTATCCTATAAAAAAAAGGAAGAATATACTTTCCTTCTCCGCATTTTTTTTTTCAAATTTTTTCAATTTTATCAAAGTTCATAATACACTCGGTAAAACTCAATTTTTTACCGCAGTCTTTAATTGACGATGCTTCTAGAGTCTAGAGACACAGTAGAGTGGTCCGTTAAATGTATAAATACAAAAGTTTGTGCTCGATCATCTATTTTAACTATAAAATGATCTAGACGGTTACCATTTCTTGTTGGAATATTAATTTCAAGTCGTAAGTCATTACAAGCCTATGTTTTAATAGTCCATGGCCTGTGAGACTGATTGACATAATATAAAAATTTGTATCACCTGTGAAAGCTTTATTTTTATTTCACTCAGTTTTTAGTCGCTTGAGTGGAAGTAAGGACTGACATTTTTTAAACTAGCCTATAGGTATTATTCACTGTGTATTGACGATCTATGTTTACTATTTGACAATTATTTTCTTTAATAAATCCTTGTACGGCCTGTGTAGTATAGTTCAAAGACTTAAATTTTCTAAAATATGCATCTAATATAAGTAATTACACCATCATTTTGGTTAAAATATGCTTAGTACCGAAAGCTTTATAATTATCGTTTGTCGGTTGTTAATATGTATTAAGCATTCAATGATTTATAAAACATTAATTGTTATTACTAAGATAAAAATATTAGCAATCTATCTAGATTTTTGACCTTCTATATGAATATTTCTCGTATATGTGTGTGTTAGTTAGTTTGTTTCTTTGTGGCTTACTGTATCATACACGGCTTGATGGATTTAAAAATACGAGTGCCGTTAAATAGGTCTTAATTGTCTTAAAGTCTGACAACACTTTTTACTCGTATTATGGCACTCACAATATTTTGAACATAACAATATGGTGATTGCTTGAAACAATTTCTGACGATCGTATGTTTTTAGTTGATAAAGGATCGCTGCTTATTTTTTTAATAGTAATATTTAAACTAAAATAGCATATTTTTTTCTTAAAATGAAAATTAAATTAGAGTTGTGGTGAAAGGGTTGTTAACCGTCCCGTTATTATAGTAGAAATTTTAATTAGTTTTTATAGAATAAGGGTGCAAACGAGCACTTTGCTCCCCTAATGGTAAGTGGATGCTTGTAGCCCATAGACATCTAAATCTATCCTCGATACTGAATCAAAAAGCAGATGCGATGTTACTCCTGACGACTTAGATGGAATGCCTCCTATCCAGTAAAAAGGGTCTCCAGTTCTCTACACTCACCATACAAAACGCTGTTATATTTTAAGCATGGTCTTTCTACGGTAGAGCATACCCATTGTTGTAACAATCATAATATAGCTGCAGCATGGCTCTACCATGTGTAGAAACAGATACCTAAAATAATACACTGATTATACTTATGTTTTAAAAAATAGAGATTGTTTGTTAGCGGTTGTTGTAGCATGTTGGCGAAAAATGGAAACAATTTAACTATGCGCCTTGCTTAAAAAAATCATTGCGGAACATTCATCGAGTCATTAAGGTAAATGCTCCTTAGTATTCTTTGTTTATATGTTGGTGCGCTGCGCCGATTTTGAACGAGTAAGAATATCCGCCAAGGATGATCCGTGCTCGTGAAGCCTTACGGTGGTAGTGATCGAATAAATGGTTAAAAAATCGAAAAGTTGTATTAGCAGAACATCGCATCACGATACGTTCTATTGCTGAAGAAACAACGATTTGAACAGGCAGTGTGCATAAAATTTTACAGGTAGACTTGCGCATGAAAAAGTATCCGCGCGTTAGGTACACCCAGAATGCTTAAGGGCCAATCATTAATTACGTAAGGATGATTTAGGTGATTTTTGACACCCCCCCCCCCCCGCTCTCCCTCCCTCCACGTACTGGTACATAAGAATTCTCGAACTCCCCTCCTTCTTACGTAAGATTCCATCATTTTATTTAGATTAGATTAATACGCCGGAAAAATGTACTAAAAATATTATTTATAACATTTAATGTGCGTAAAAATTAACAATTTTCAGACTTTAAAATTTTAATAAACAATACAAAAATTTTAAATAAGATGTAAATCGAAGTGTACGAGGGTGCGTTTTTAATGGAATTTGGGGTAAGGAGTGGAAATAAAAATCCAAATTTATTTTTCCTTTTCAATTGATCGATGTTTTCAATATAAAAAGAACCCCTTTGTCGTATCTCCTCAGTTTCAAGGTACTCCCCTTGTTGCCTCAGCCAGTATCGGAATCCTCGGCGTCGACATATCGAGTGACGTACAGTTTCGTGGTCACTTAGAAGAGAGGGCCAAATTGGCCTCTAAAAAGCTTGGCGTGCTCAGCAGAGCGGGACGTATTTCATGCCAGCTCAACGCCAGCAACTTTACAAGGCGCAGGTTTGGCCTCACATGGAATACTGTTCCCATCTCTGGGCAGGGGCTCCCCAGTGCCAGCTCCTTCCACTTGACCACATCCAACGCAGAGCGGCTCGAATCGTCGACGACCGAGTCCTTTTCGATCGGCTCGACTCATTGGCACTGCGAAGAGATGTTGCATCTCTTTGCATTTTCTTTCGCATTTACCATGGGGAGTGCTCTGAGGGATTGTTCGGATTAATCCCAGCCGCCAAATTTCACGAACGCACATCGCGGCAGAACTCCCGATACCATCCACACCATCTGGATGATTGGCGGTCTACCACTGTGCGATTTAGAAGATGTTTTCTTCCTCGCACAACTTCCTTGTGGAATAGTTTACCACCAGCGATTTTTCCGGACCGATACGACTTAGGGACCTTCAAAAAAAGAGCCTACTCCTTTTTAAAAGGCCGGCAACGCATCTGCAATTCCCCTGGTGATACGGTTGTTCATGGGCGGCGGTAGTCACTTACCATCAGGTGAGTCGCATGCTCGTTTGCCCCTTCTATAAAAAGAAAATATTCACCTGCTACCCTAAAATTTTTTTCGTATCTTTCAATTAATTTATGTATACCCTCAAAAAATTATTTGTCTTTGTCTAAAAAATACGCCGAAACTGCTTCCTTCACTTCTTCATCACTTAAAAACATTTTCCCACTATTATCTATTTCCATTTTGGAAATAGTTAATAATGACTTGGGGCCAGGTCAGGATTATAGGGTGGGTGTGGCAAAATTTCGAAACCCACCTTCTGCAGGGCAGCCATCGCAACATGGCACTTGTGAACAGGCGTGTTGTCCCCATCTTTTCTCCTTTATGGCTTCCTTCAATTGTTCTAGGATTGAAGCGTAGTAATTTCCGGTTATGGAGACACCTTTATCTTTATAATTTATCAATAGGATTCCTTCTGAGTCCCAAAAGACTGTCGCCATGATTTTCCCAGTTGATTGTGCTACCTTAAATTTCTTGGGTGGTGGTGTGCCTTTTTGTGCCACTGCATAGAGTCCTGTTTGGATTCAGGTTCATAAAGGTGAACCCAAGTTTCGTCACCAGTAACAATTTTCGAGCCAATACTCCATCTTTGTCTTCCATACAGAGGTCCAAAAATGCACGAGAACACTCCACGCGCTGTTGCTTTTGAGGCGGCGTGAGCATTTTAGGCACCCATCTTGCGCTGACTTTAGTCATGCCAAGATGGTCATGAAGAATTTTGAAAATGGTTGTATCTAATACTCCAACGGTTTCTACGAGCTGTTTTTTCTTTAGGCGGGCATCTTCTAATATTAATTTTTAGATTTTTTGAATAATTTCCGAAGTGGTCACCTCGATCGGCCTTCCTGGCCGTGGGTCGTCTTCAAGTGACTCTCTGCCTTGTTTTAAAAGGGTATGCCACTTGCAAACCATAGTTTTACTTGGTCAAGAATCTCCGTAAACGGATGACATCTCTTCCAGTATAGTCTAAACTGATTTTCCGCGCTTGGTAAGGAACTTTATAAAGGCACGGAACTCGATTTTCTCCATATTTCACAATTTCTTCCCGATTGATTTGTTTGCTTGACGATAACTCAAAGACTAATGCTCTAATTACAATAAAACCCCGTAATTTATACTAATAATGAGTTGCTCAATTAGCACGTAATTCAGCGACGTCCCCACTTATTACCTACCTACCCATTCCGCGAACAAAACGCACCCTCGTATGTTATAGAATGATGATCTATTCGGCATCCGAAATGGAACTAGATTTCTGATATTAAATTTCGACTTACAAAATATTACGTAAGAATGGGTTTTACCCCTCTAAGGTACCTTATGTAATTAATGAATGGCCCCTTACCGATGCGCTCAAATACATCAGATTAAATACAAAATCCAGATCGTTTTTTTTTTAACTCGATTGATAGCAATAGACGGTGTTTTTTTTATAGAATGAGGGTGACAAACGGGCACACAGTCCACCTGATGGTAAGTGGTTGCTGTTGCTTTTTTAAATCGGTAAAAAATGGTAAGTAGGTAAATTATCTGAGTTTCAAAGACGTTCATGTTGTTATAATCTTAATTTTTCTCGACATTACATATTAGCCTTCCTCACATTGAACAATAATGTTCCCTCGGTGTATTCTACTACCAACTAATATCAAAGGATTCAATTTGTTTTATAACCTAACCCTACAGTAGGTGCGGCCTTAAAAATACGCGTAACGGGCTATGTGATACAGACTCTCGCACGCGGACGTAAGGGGCATTTTGATTTAATACGCGCGCCGCATTAATTTTGGCATTTCAACGATATAATCGGTAGGCTAATTTGACGAAGGTCGTGTTCGAGGCGTACAAAGTATTATGAACATTAGCGACGTTGTAACTAGGTTTAAACTCGCAAGTTTGCTATCAGAGAGTGATCCTTCTGTTCTTGTACTATTATTTATTCTATGCTATTAGTGTATATGTATCGATACCCAAAAGTACTCGCTATTTACTTGTATCGTTTTCTGCCTACGTGTGTGTTCCCTTTACTCGAAAACCTTTTTTATTCTACTACTAGATTTTATTTAGTGATAATTTAGATATATTCAAAGACGTTAAATACATTCATAGAAGCTAAACGTCACCCTCGCAATGTCACATTTGGCCGTATATACTACTACTAGTGTGTAGTGTATCATTTATTTCCCTTCAGTGGGTGAGTAATAGATTTTTTCGACTATAGACTACAGCACGGCTAGCATGGGCTGAGGACAAAATTTTTATGCCCCGATTATATCCACTGACAAGAGATAAAATTATCATGTCCCTAAGTCAAAGCACGGCAACGGGGGAAAGGAGAAGTGTATCCCCGTTTGACATAACGAGTAGACATATATCCCCCGTCCGTAGCATGGGGCCAAATGAAGGATAAAAAATTATGCTTTTTTGACATTTGAAAAGGACAATTTTATCCTTGTTCATTGGACGTGGGTTGAAGTTTATATTGATACTAAAAAGATGTCTTGAGTCTACTTCGCATCATTTTCGCGTCAGAAATTGAAAAACAAGACAGAAAATTACATTGGCGATCGATACGTGATCAGAGTAATCCATTTGAATTCCCCGACAACGAATTTATGCGCCTTTTTCGGATGCATAAAGAATGTGTTATGTATTTGTGTGAAGAACTCCATGAAGTTTTAAACCCTATTAATGCTGTGGATGACTACCAGCGCATATAAAAGTAAGCATCTATTACAATCACCTTGTGCAAACATATCGTGTATTTACAATCAGTACATATGGCTAACATAATTTAATATTTTTCTAGGTATTCACATCTATCAGACTCTTGGCAGATAGTAGTTACCAGAGAGGTACGGGCCAAGACCATGGAATGGCTGTTGCTCAAACAACAGTTAGCTAATACCTGGCTCAAGTTACTGGAGCTATCGTTAGAATGTAAGCGACTATATACTTTAATTAGCCTCTTTTGTAGGTAAATAAAACAGGTTTCAGTGCATATACTTACGTGCATTTTAATTTTAGACTAATGCCAAAATGGATATCATTTCCGAGAGTAGAATAAGAAAGGAAAAATGTAGCCACAGGATTCCTTGCGAAGCATGGTTTGCCAGATATTCTTGGAGCTATTGACTGTACCCATGTCGAGATATATTCCCCCCACCATTCCCGACTGAGGTTCAGTACAAGAACTGAAAAGGGCGGTCTACAATAAATGTTCAACTGGTAAGGATAAAGAAGTTCTAGTTTTTTACAAATCTTAATAATCAATTTTTTTTTAAATAAATAATATTAGAGTTATATTCATGACTAATATTTCCCAGAAAAAGGTACGACAATAGTCTTATTGTTGTCTTTGTCGTCCAGGTTATAGATCCTGCAACTTTCGGATTGCAGAAACCCATAAATTATTGCGCTATTAAGACTTATAAAGTTGCAATTCAAAATTTTGAATTAAGAAATATGTTAATTCTCTAGCAAATCTTGTTAACCGTCCAAAAGGCTAATCTGCATAATATTAGGAATAAAAAAAACACAAGACACATTATCATACAATTGTTTATTCTTTGTTTTATTCGATAATTAATTTTTACCACCATTATACTTTGTTTTTTTTTTCATCCTTCATGTTCAATTACCTTTAAAATTTAAATCCTTGTGAAAATCTGAAAAGACAATAAGAAATATTAGTTGACAGCTACATTATAATACAACAGTAAAAGAAACATATTTTACAGGGGACTTGGGCTATGCCTCAGAGCCTTGCCTGATGACTCCAGATTTAGAAACTGCACCAAATACTTCTGCAGAAAAATATAACAAATGGCATTGCGAAGTGAGAAACTTGTGTGGAAAGAACGAATGGGTATTGGGTACCTCAAAGGCACATTCAGAAGCCTAGGCATTGACAGGGTACTCTACTACAGTCCAGAGAAGGCTTCACAATTAATATATGCTTGTGCAACACTATACAATATCATGCTATATTATAGGTGTTTTGTAAATACATGTGCATTATAGATTATATCATCACACAGATAATTATTATTGAAATGTGTTTACTTTCGATAAACATTATTAATTTCATTTGTATATTGCAGAATTCCGATGGAACAATCAATGGACAACTTAGATGCAACAAGTGAAGAGAGCAATCCTCTCATCACATCTTTGGATCATATGACGCTGTTGACGATTGCCCGACAAAAAGAAAAAGATTAATAAATACATACTTCAACTAAAATTTATTTGTATGATTACCTTTTCATCCTTTTGAGTTTATTTCTTTGACCTAGGTGCGCATTCTGTGCATGATGCTATCGATTTTGCTCACATAAAAGGTTGTTGTGCTTATAGCCTTTCATCAATTTATATTGACTGTAGCAGAACCATATTAATCAGAAGGGAATTATTGCATTCATGCAATTAGTAATGAAATAAAAAAAATTAATAGAATCAGGCGTTACTTTGTGGAAGTCCATTATATTAAAGTTGCCAAAAAATTACTTCGCGTACATCCGCGCGATAAAATAAAATGATGTGTCTTAACTAGTTTGAAGAGCACCTCCCGCCCTCCCTCAATTGCGTGCACTATCACCGTCACCACTAACCCCAGCACCACTACTCCCAACACCACTACACTAGGAAAGACTCACCACTAACGACAATACGACGATTTCAATATCTTTGACTGTTCCAGCACACACAGTCGCAGCCCTTTATTACACTTATGTAAGACTTTAAAGGAGTGGGCATTGGCTAGGTTGTGTTCAGTGTTGTTTTGTATGTTTGTCAAAAAGGGATTTATCGGGATTGCCATTCCTGTACGCGGCTAAATGCTCTTTACAATGTGTTTCGAAATTGCGACCGTTCTGACCCACGTAAACAGCGTGGCATTAATCACAAACAAGTTTGTAAACACCCGGCTTTTGACGAATATTCAAGCTTGGAATAATAGTAACGTTGCACTGCTTAATGAACAAACAAATGTTTCTAACTCACCTCTCTTAAACATCTTTAATCCTGCTCTCTAATAACAGACAGCCTCGCAATATAGTCGTTTGTCGCCCTCACGGTGATCGGCGATTGGTTGCGTGGTTGGAGGGTAGGCGGGAGCTGTGCGGCGGTTTGTTTTTAATTTTACAATGGCTGCGTAAGTCCGTCGGTGATTGGTCGTATGTTTTATCGCATGACGCAGTCGCTCACTCCTTAAGTGGGGAGCGGTTGCGTCTGTCTGTATAAATAACAATTGTTTTGGCTCGCCACTCACTTAGCGGTCAGCCACCGCAGAGTCTCGATCACCTGAAGATGCCTCGTGTAGAGGCGAAACACGTGTCGTATTGTCGTCAGTGGTGAGTCTTTCCTAGTGTAGTGGTGTTGGGAGTAGTGGTGCTGGGGTTAGTGGTGACGGTGATAGTGCACGCAATTGAGGGAGGGCGGGAGGTGCTCTTCAAACTAGGTAAGACACATTATTTTATGGAGCAGATGCGAAGTAATTTTTTGCCAACTTTAATAAAAAACAATTGTTACTTGTAAATACGCATTATTTTCTTGCTGGAGGCGAATGAATGTATCATGCGATCGTTCCTTTTTATTGTGGGCTGTGGGATAGCTGGTGGAAGGGGCTGGATGGCTCGTGGAAGGGGCTGGATGGCTGGTGGAATATTTTCCAACTCGTCTGCGAAGGAGGTGGATAGACAAAGTCTTAATAAATTTAATTGGGTACGCTGAATACGCTTCAATGATTTCCTGCTATAAAATTAATAACATAAGCTTCACATGCTTTCAAAGACAAAGTAACACAAGACAAAATATTGTAACTAAATAAGTGCACACATTTGCCTGGCCTATTGAAGACTCTTCAGGCCCAGTAGCGGTAGAAGACTCATTCCCAATAATGCTTAAAACTTGTGCCCACTTCGGACACAGTCGGTACTGTTACTGAATTTCCCGTGTTGCTGTGGATACATCCACGAGCTGCCCCTGCATTCTCAGTACGCGCACCCTTTTTGAAATCTTTCCAAGTCTACAAATAATAGAATATTTAAATACCTACTACTTTCTCGCTGTCACGATTAGTGTATATAATTTTAATTTTGTGTACTTACGGAATTTACTACGAAAATGTAATATTTAATATGTTATGGACTAACCTGCTTCCACTGATCAATTGTTCTGTCTTGTGACGAAAACTTTAGTGTCGAAATAACGAGCACAGATAAAAAATAATGATTTTGTGACTTAGAGTGAACATCAATTTTGAAGTATTTTTGAGTTTTTGTATAATGTTATGTTTTTTTGTTAAATAAAATCGTTACCCCCACACTAGGATTTTCTCCTGTGTCGTGGAGACAGTTTACAAACATAAATTGCACAAGGACAAACATCCAGAACCGGAGCAATTATTTGTAGGCCATACAAATACTTGTTCCGTGCGGGATTCGAACCCGCGGCCCCCAGCGCAACAACTGATTGGTAAGCCACTGTGCCACGGAGCCGTCATAATAATAATGGCAATAATTGCGGGGATAAGCCTATCTCCATTTTATCTACTGTGGATATTATATCCACCGGTGTGCCCATGCTCGAAGGGTGGATAAAACTAAGCGAGGGGGTAAATATTTTGTCCTTTCCCCGGGGATAAAATGTCTCCTGCCCATGCTAGCCCTGCAGCTATCCCCTCTCGCCCGTGTTTATTTATAAACCACTCTCAACACGTTTCCGAAATCCGGAGCGAGCTACCAAACTTACCAAAATGAAACTACATTACCACAACAGTATTTCTACTGGAATACTCACCCGAGTAATGCTACATTGCGAAGCGACTGGAGCGAGGCTAGATTAAGCTCTAGACGTTAAAACTAGCTGAAAAAGCGCTAGATCTAGGTACTAGAAGCGCTGCGTTAGTATCAGTGCTGAATCGTGTCACCATTAATCATGCGGTGAAACTATTTAAGCGCCACACGTGTTCGCACCTTAGCATGTGTTACGCCACAGATTTTTATTTATAAAATTTCGCAAGTTCGCAATAGCATCGCTCAGGCGCAACGCCGCGTCACCCCGCAATGAAACATTTGGCCTTGCCTTGTTATATTGCCTGCCGTTGATCTTCCGTGTATTTTTCTTCTGTGAATTTACGACACACACGTATACGAATAGAGCGATAGGTTCTTTTACACAATGCTAGGTTTTGAATCAGGGATGGAAAAAGTCATGATTTTCTTAATTTTAATCAAATCATTCTGATTTTTTTGTATTTTTTGATATTCACGAGTTGGTAACACTTTTTGACATAGTACAAGGGCGGCACTGAAAATTTCGGGAATCAAGGAAGTGACACAACATTACTATTTAAAAATGTATTTATTGCTTTACGAAGTATTTTCCGCGAAATTTGACACATTTTTCCATACGATGGAACCAATCATTGAAGCAACCATTCCATTCGGAAGTTGGGGTCTCCAAAATGGCCGTTTTGTAGGCGTCCACAGCTTTTTCATGTGATGAAAATCCCTGTCCACGCAATTTATTCTTTATTTTAGGGAAAGTATAGAAATCATTAGGGCTTAGGTCGGGGCTGTACGGCGGATGGTCTAATAATTCTATGTTTTCTTGCTCTAAAAACTCTTTTGTTCTGTGTGCGGTGTGAGAACTCGCATTGTCGTGATGGAGGATGATGCGGCGGTTGCAGTTCTCTTTCCGGAGTTCAGAAACGACCTGTGGCAAATAAATGCGAGCATACCATTCTGCATTAACCGTTCTTTGTCCCTCAAGAGGAATAGTCGTAACATGGCCGGTTTCGGAGACAAACGTGGCCACCATTTTTTTTGCAACACTCCGTGAACGAACAATTTTTGTTAGCTTTAACTCATTATCGAACACCCAAACTCGTGACTGGTTTTTTGTTTCGGGTTCGTACTCGTATATCCAGGATTCGTCACCTGATACGATGTTGTATACAGCATTTGAGGATCCTGCGTGGAATCTTTCGAGAGTTCTGACGCACCAAGTAACGCGAGCCGCTTTTTGCTCTTCACAGAGCGAATGCGGTATCCTTTGGGAAAACAACTTTTTTCCACCTAATTGTTCATGTAAGATTATTTGTATTTGACTCATGCCAATGTCTAAAGTTGCCTGAATTTCGCGGTATGTCACATGTCGATCTTCCTCAATCAGCTTACGCACAGCATCAACGTTTTCTTGGGTGACTGCAGTTTCTGGACGACCTTGACGGGGATCATCACTGAGCTTGACACGTCCACGTTCAAATTCAGCAAACCAGCGATAAATTGTGGTTTTGGATGGGGCTTCATCACCAAATGCAGAAATCATCCGGTCAACACACTGTTTTTGTGTTAAACCACTTCGAAAGTCATAATAAATCATCGCTCTTGAATTTTCTCGAGTCAATTCCATTTTCTCAACGACTAAACAAGTTTGATAAAACCTTGTGGCAAGACCGAGAATCTTTTTTTAAATAAATAAATGGTATTCGATTTTAAAAACCAAGGACTTTTCAATTAGAAAGATTTTAATATGACAGGATCAGTGGAAATATTCTATTCCCGATACTTTTAGTGCAGCCCTCGTAGGATTAAACGTTTATGAATACATATGTATGAGTAAAATAATTAATACTGTATTAATTACAGTTATTACAGTATACCTTAAGGGTGAATTTCTAAAAAAAAAATAGTTGATTTTACTAAGTTTATGAGACTGATAGACCTCATCGCTACTTCTTTATTGATATTCCAAAGTTTATGAGACTATTGTAGTAGAATAAAAAGAATAACATAATACAATAAAAGATTTTACCTTATTTTAAGCCAGTATTATTTCAATTTCTGCCTATTACATTAATTTATACGTGTTGATTTAAATCAATGATTTTTTTAATCAAAATCAAGCGATTTAAATCGTGATTTAAATCAGTTTGATTTAAATCAGCCAACCCTGTTTTGGATATAATATTGTTAACATCCTATATTATACGACCAATATTTATAATATACTTATTTGTTTGTTTGTCCTAATCACGTTTTCGAAAACAACTCTATCGATTACGATGACATTTACAATAACATCGAAAAATCGATCTAGCTAGGTCTTATCGCTGGGAAAATTTATTTTCTCCGTGTTTTCACATACAAAGATATAACAAGAAAAAAAACTTGTCTTACTACTTCTACAACTTCTAATACAATATGTAATGTAATGGCTAGAACGAGTTTGAATCC